CCACATATCCCTCCTTAAGACAAAGGCTGCAGACCTTAAGCCAGTAAAAGGGGAATCCATGACTGATACACTGGCTCATATGAGCCATTTGAGACACTTGGTTATCACTGATGGAGATCCCCATGGAACTCAGAGACTGGAAGACAACAGAAGAGAAACAAGCACTGGGGAAAGCACTGGACCCTGGAAAGATGGTGTTTGCTGGCCATCTCATGGGGCCAAATAGGGCTGAGTTCACTAGAGTTAAGACAGTAATTAATTCAGCAGGGACAAGATTGATATAGGGTTTTAGCAGCTTTCCTGAGTCCCTTGGTGGGGTATAATCTTCATGGAGTAATAGAGACTTTGGAAGATCTAGGTGACTCCAACTGGTGTGTTAACTGGGTCCATAAATCTAGAATAGATAAGAGAAAGGCAAAACAGAGAAAGAGGTCTGCCTGGGTTACTCAAAGACCTAGAGTGGCAAAGATTTGGATGGAGCTGAAGTTCCAAAGGAAGAAATGGACAGAAGCCAAATACTGTGCTAACAAAGCCCAAAGAACAGTTCATAGAACATTTCACTGATAAAAACAATGCAGGTGGAAAAGATAAAGCTTGTCTCAAAGATGGCCGGCCATCCCCCTATAACAGGCTGTGTACACTTCTGCCATGCAAGAAAGGACTCTGATGGTAGAGACTCTGCCCAGCCTGTCATCCAACCCTAGCAGTCAGATACAGCTGGTGGGGAATCAGCAGCTGTAGCCACAGCTGGTGTCAGCCTAAAGCCTATCAGACCCAGGGAAACAGCCTGAGCAGCAAGTGCAGCAGAAGAGTGTGGCCTCATTCCCCCTTGGCCCTGGGTGGGACTGGGCAGCTTGAGCTTCCCCAGTTAAGCCCATAATGGATGGGAGATTGCATGTTGGACTCATGGAAGCATTCCAAAACTAAGAAGTAGGGTGACTCATGAAGAATGACTGTGCATTGTGGAGGGCTAACTAGAGTAGTGCCTGCCATCCACACAATGTGCCCAACATTGCTCTTCTAATGAAAAACTGGTACAAGTGATGAGTGCTGGGTTTTGTGCTCAGGGCTAGGCAGACCACAGCATCCTCTTTCTCACAGCTGCTCTAAAAGACCCTACTGAAAGCCTACCTATGAATCCATGACCTTCTAATCTATGACCTTCTATCCAGGTTCGCAGATTCCAAGTGGATGACAGATGCCATTCTCATTTCCCAAACAAAGTTTATAGGCGCCAGGAAGGGCAAAAACCAGAAATGAGTTCACAAAGGGTGAAAGGGCCAGGCACACCTGTGAAATTCTTAGGGACTTTGCGGTTGGGTAAGGCATAGATGACAAATACTAAGATGACTGAGAAGATTCTACAAAAGCGGGTGCACGTAAATGCTATAGCAATGGTTAAAGAACGAACAAAGGTACCCTATGCAAATTGACACCCATGACTAGTGAAGTTAGAGGCCTCAGTTGGTAATCAACTGCTATTGTTCAGTTAAATGAATGTGTTGCATCTATCAAATAGCCTTCTAAATATGCTTATGCTCATCGATTACTACTGCTATCAGCCTTGAGTAGTGAAGTTTGCAGTGTGCAGCCATTACTGCAGAGACTCATAACCAGTCCAGCTCCTGAGACTGACTACTGATATGGCATGATAGCCCAGTTCTCAGCCTGAGATGCAGGAGAAAAGCCAGACATTTATTCCTTCCCTTGAAGGCTCAGGGAACAACCCAAAAGAAGGGAGCAGAAATGATGTAAAAACCAGAGGAAAGGAAGAAGCATTGCAGATTGTGACCCTCACCTGAGATTTCAGCTGCTCTTGCCTGGTCTTGGCCAGCAGTAACTCTGCCCTTATTGTGTGTGGCCTCAAGGTCTTGGGAAGCACTAGAGCATATGGACTACAGAAGATTAACTGAATAGGGGACTCCACATAGGCAGCTGTGGAAAAGTCATTCTCCATGCTGGGGTGAAACTTTTCATTAAAAAATTGATTAAAAATAGTTTATTTACCCATGCCTCTACCCACAGCATGTATCATGACACCTTTTAAGTTATACATGATTTTTATGCATCATTTACACGTTCAGAATCAGTGTTTAGTTTCAAGGAAAGAAACAGCATTCCATTTTACTAAGCTTCTCTAAATCATTACAGAGTTTAAACTTTGTTATATACCTACATAGAACCAAACCATTTCAATAGAACTTCAGAAAATACAAGGGAAAACAGTAAACCACACAAAGGTAGTTTTGTTTTATTCAAATTTTAATTTCATTGATTGTTCTCTAAATGACATTAAAGTAATTTATGTTTCAGTATCTTAATTTTCTGTCGTATAGTTTGTGAAATGTGACTTGTGATAATTTTTATAAAGTATGCTTTTCCTTGTACATTATATATTTAGCAT